CTGCTGGGGTTTTTGAAGGAGATATCAATTCCATTTGCAATCACCTCTGCAATTTTCAATGCCCAAGGAGACTTCAGCCCACGGTCTTCTCCCAAGGGTCAAAAATGAGCACTGAAGGCAACCCCACAAATCATTTCTATTTACAAAAGAAAAGGGGCCTGCTAGGAAAGTAGGATTACAGGTCTATTTTAGAGAAGTTTGTTTAACTCTAAACTTCAAGGTTATCCTAGGCATCTGTGCCAATGAGTTCATAATATGTTGATTCTTTATGATTTAATGCTTTTGCAGCCATCCTTTGCATTGCTGTGGGGTCACTTCCTAATATCTCTTTCGACAAAGAATGAATGTTTCCAAGCCCTATACAACTGCCGGCCATCAGTAACCAAAACCCACCGCCATCGAGTTGATTCCAACTCACAGCGTCTCTATGTAGAACTGCCCCTGTGGGTTTCTGAGGCTGTAAATCTTTACAGGAGTAGAAAGCTTCCTCTTTCTCCCACAAAGTGATTGGTGGGTTCAAACTAGCACCTTTATGGTTAGCTACCCAACACATAACTCATTATGCCACCAGTGCTCCCTTGCTGGCATCAGTAAACAACAAAAAGTTCATTGCCATAGAGTTTATGTCGACTCATAGTGACCCTATAGCACAGGGTAGAACTGCCCCTGTGGGTTTCCAAGACTGTAACTCTTTACAGGAGCAGGAAAACCTCATCTTTCTCCAGTGGATTGGCTGGTGGTATCAAACTGCTGACCTGTGATTAGCAGCCCAACTCATAACCATTGCATTACCTGGTACCTTTTATTGTGCAGTTGCTGGAGGCCAGGAACCTGACTCATGGTAAAACTGTGAGCCAGTGTCTGCATACACTCATGCTCGGGATAAAACCACAATCATGGCACACAGGGCCCTTGGACAGTTTATAATCAGGTGGCACAATAAACAGATCGATTTTCTAAAAGCATGTGGTTTAAGGGCAAAAAAGGAAAATAACGTGATTAGATGCACCACTTGGAAAAGGCCACTGGGGAAAAGGAAGGTGAGGGGCTGAGGCAATTTGGGATTACAAAATTCACTTTTTCAAGGTCAGACACAACTAGGGGGCAAGTTCCAGCTAAAATTCTTAGGATCATATTGGAAGCCACAGTCTTATGATGCTGTCTGCCACTCTGTTTCTTTGTATGGGAATAGCGAGAATTCACTATAATAATACAAATTGGTTCAATTTATCAGCCTTGGAAAGCGTCTATTATCTAACTTAAAACAGAGCAGGAAGAGCCAGAATCTATGAGTCCCCTCATGAGGTGCATGAGCTGTGCTACTTAAAACCGTCCGACAGAAGCGTCTCTGCTAGGTGTAAAATGCCTATTAGGGCAGGTAATAAATACTTTCTTGTAAATGTGCCTTCCAAATGTATTTCTGGGCTTGACCTTCTGATCACGATTGTCTCTGGCTCTGGTTAAAGTCTTTGGGGCACCTGCCAATGTGAGGCAGCAGACTGGGCAGAAGCCATGTGCAGCTGGGCTTTTCCAGCTGCCCAGGGCAAGTCCACACAAAGACATGGCCCAGTTTTCTGCTCACTTGCTCCTAATCAAATGCTGGTGCCGTGCCCCTGGCCTTGGAGGTGATGTCATTGGGCATCCTCAGATTTCACAGCATGGGGACATGGACCATGGACAGCACACTCAGATCTGGGTTAGGGTGGTGGCTGGGGCTCATGAATCCAGTTCCTAACTAAAATCCCATTTCTAAAACATAAACACCCTTTTTTAAAAAAGCAAAGACAGATTATGTTGTGAAGGACCACTCCACATCCTTGTATTGGGGGCCCTCAGGGACCCAGCAGGGTTTCATAAACCTAAAGAAAGTCAGCTTTAGTTTCTGAGATGAACTTTGGATTTTCAGGCAATCCTAGGGTTTAACCTGTATAAACAGACAAAGTCCTGCAATAGCAGCAGCCTGCTCCTGGATCTATGCAGGCTTGGAAAGCATGGGCCATGCGCGCCTCTCTCCTTGTTTTCAGCACCAATTCATGGTAGATCCTGAAATTCCCATTACCAACAGTAGTCCTACAATGCCTCTCATTTCAAATCCTGGAAATCAAATTGACAATAACAACTGGGAAGATTAGGTCAGAAACAGGGTGGCAGTGGGTTTTGGGGACAACTCAGAAAAGGAGGGTAGCAATGGCTGCACAACTTGAAGAATGTAAACAGTGTCACTGACATGGACACACAGAGGCTGCTGAAGGTGTGAGTCTTGCTGTATATATGCTCAATGACAAAATAAATAGATACAAAAGAGGAGCTGATACCAAGGGCTCAACAGAAAGTAATCGTTAGAAAATAATGATGGCAACATATGTATAAATATGTTTGATACAATTGATGAATGGATTGTTATAAGAAGAGCCCCCAATAAAATTATCTTTTAAAAAAAGATACATTTTTTTAATTACTGAACACACTAAACAAAAGAATGAAAAATTCTTTTTCACTAATTTTTTAATTCTTGAAGCCCAGCTGCTTCCAACAAAAATCGTATACAGCTATCTAGAGAAAAAGTAAATAAGTTAAATTTCTGATATAAGACATAAAAATGGGGCTAAGATTCCCTCTGCAGGACACTGTATTATTATAGTGTCATAATCACTTAAATTTAAAAAAATTCTTAAATTAAAAAAAAGCTTAAAATAATTTAAAGGAAGTACAATGACCTTTGTATATTCGCTACATAAAGTCTAATACTTATTAAAACATATGCTATTTTGTTAACCTATATGCCTCCTCTCCTTCCTTTTTTTCCCCCTGAACTATTTTAGGAGAAATTATAGACATCATGACTCTTTACCCTAAATACCTCAGCATAATTATTAAAAAAGAACATTTTCCTACATAACTCAGTATCATTATCATTTGTAATAAAATCAATGTGGCTACTATCTAGTTCATATTTACATATCTCAATTGGTCCTCATAACGTGTTTAGTACCTGTCTTGTTCATGCACAACTAAGGCATAATTTTGTCAAAGTAAGAATCTGGACAGAGAATGACAACAGAAAAGCCCTCAAACCGAACTCCCTGCCTGAGTCCATTCAGGCTCACAGTGGCCTTATCATGGAGTGGAACTACTCCACGGGGTTTCCAAGGCTGTACACATCTTTACAGAAGCAGACTGACCCTTCCGTGGAGCAGTTGGTGGGTTCAAATCACCAACCTTCCAGTTAGCAGCCTAATGCTTAACCTACAGCACCACCAGAGCCCCATTATAAGGAAAAGTAGAGAGGCTGATAGTTGACAGTAAGTTATCATTCCATCTATTTCCCCTTTTAAAAAAGAAGAAAAAAAGGATCTATAATCTGACTTTTTTCTTGGGGGGGGGAGCTCTGACCATGGAGGCCTGGTGGCACAGTGAGTTATGCACTGGACTGCTAACCACAAGGTCAGCAGTTCAAAACCACCAGTCTCTCCCCATAGGAGAAAGATGAGGTTTTCTACTCTAAGAAAGATTTATAGCCTTGGAAACTCACAAGGGCAGTTCTACTTTGTCCTATATGGTTGCTATGAGTTGGCATCAACTTGAAGGAGGTGAGTTTTGGTGTTTTAGAATCTGACCACAGAACATATGTAAACATTCTCTTCTAGTTTCTTTTTTCCTATGCATAAAAACACATTCACATGTACAGTTATGATGAGTCTTGCTACTCATCAAATACTATTGGCAATCTTTTTTGGCAAGTGGAAGTGGAGGGACAAACTTCCATGAAGTCTTAAGACTGTAGGGTCTCAAAAACAAAACAACCAAAAAAGCCCCCTCAGTGCCTTTGAGTCAATGTTAACTCATAGCAACCCGGTTTCTGAGGCTGTAGCTGTTTATGAGAGTGGATAGTTTTAGTCTTTCTCCTGCGAAGCTGCTGATCGTTTTGAAGTGCTGACCATGTGGCTTGCAGCCCAATGCATACTACTGCACCCCACCAGGGCTCCCGGATGGCCAATTGTGACACACAGTGACCCCCTAAGCAGAGCAGACCTGCTCCCAAGGGTTTCTGACGCTGTGAATCTTTACTGGAAAAGACAGCCTTGTCTATCTCTCAAGAAATGGCTGGTGGATTTAAACCACAGATCATGTCGTTAGTAGCCCAAAGCTTAACCCATGGTGGAAAAAAAAGGTAGCTGAGTCTGGCGGAAAACGAGATGACTCCAGAGCATTTTTTAATGGACTGTCATTTAAAGGGGCACTACTGTGGTGCTGTGTGACCCTGCTGGGTTCACTTCCTCAAAGCTGATCCTAACATAAACCTTGAGAGACATGGAGTACTGACAGTTGCTGCTGCCAGCCATCATAGAGGTTCAGGGTAGAGAAAAGTAAGTGGGTTTTTTTCCCCCTACACACAGACGGTACCTTGAAATCTTTGAAAGAAAGCAAAACAAAAATCCACTGCCATCAAGTCGATTCCAACTCACAGCGAAGACGCTATAGGGCAGAGTAGAACTGCTCCTTAAAGTTTGAGATGTTAAATCTTTTGGGGAGCAGCCAGCCTCATTTTTCTCCCAAGAACCTGGTGGATTTGAACTACCCACCTAGCCCCCTATGCCACTATGGTTCCTATCTTTAAAAGATAAGTGCTATATATTTACAAACTATTAATGACATTCTCTTAACCACAAATTTCACAAACTCCTGGATATCAAAAACTTCGGTTTAAAATACTTTTTATAAAACAAAACTTTAAAATTTCAATAAATAGATAGGCTGTACTTTAAATAAAAACACTTCCAGCTGAACTACATTCTGAGCCAAGTCAATACATAGAGCTATTCCTTGGCGCAACTAGCTGTCTGTTAATTTCCCTTTAACCATGTCGAACTGCAAGCATTTTCAAAGTCTGAAAAATTTCCCCTGCAAGCAGATCCAAATCTGATTTGGGGCCATAGTGTCCCTACAGAAGGTTGCCTCCGTCCTTCCTCATGGAAAGGAAGCCGTCAGGGCACTCTTACCTTGCTTCCAGGGGCACAGATGACCTCGTTTCACGGGCTTCTGTTTTTCAATCGCATTACCCATTCTAAAGTCAGAGGATCACTGGGTCCTGCTAAGCCCAGGCGCCTTTGTGGAGCCACAAGTAAGGACCACCAGGTCACTAGCTGAAAGGGGCTTCATCTCTTGGACATCCCAAAGCGTCCAGAGGCAGAGTGAGCCCAGACAAGCCCTCGCAGGGACAACTAGAAAACTTCTGCTCTGATAAGGTCTTTGCCTTTTGCCTTTAAACTTGCTTCAGTCCCGGAGAGGAAATCAGAAGAAAAGGCTTGTTATCGCCCTACCGGCGGGTCTTGGTAATCTGTCTATATTAAGAACACTTTCCTTTGACACTCAATTACTCATCTGCACAGCTATAGGCCCAGAGAATGGACTATATTCCCAAATACTTCAGTGCTGTTTTTCCCTGGGGGCGGAGTGGGAACCAGGTGATCAAAAAGCTGGACTGATTTGGGGCTGTGCCATAGACGCAGAGCCTGCAGACCCTTACGACACCTTCTTTTTAAGCTTCTCGCCCTCTGACCAATGTGGAGAAACACCATGAAGAAGGTTCTGTCAGAGAAAACCAGCTGATTTCATTAATACTGGGAGATGGACGGACACACACACCCAACACCACCACCACCCAAAATGCAAGCTACACCTCAGTTTGCAAAGAAGATGTGAAACAGCAAATCAACGAGCCAGCTAGGAAAAAAAAGGGGGGGTGGTAGGAAATTACATACATTTTGGTAGAAAGAAAATGGCAAGGTGGGAAACAAAATTTTAAAACATGGATTACGAAAAAAATTTAAAGCCCCTTTAAAATTCTAATCCTAGAGTTTGGGGTCAGAAAAGTCCCTACAGAATACTTCTATCACAGTGAGTAAGGAGTAAGGACACAGGGCCTGGAGTTCGATTCCTGGCTCAGCAGCCTCAGCTTTCTCATTTGTTCAATGGGTAGAATGCCAGCCCGCCTTCCTCAGCTGTACTGAGTGAGGATCAAATGAAAGACAATGTTTGTCAAGTGCTTAGCATGCTGCCCCGCACTTAGGAAGCCCTTGGTAAATATTTACCTCCATCATTTTTATCATCTTAGGCTGTGAAACTATATTAGCTCAGATGGCAGATTCCTGGCTCTCCCAATTTGACCAAAGACGCAAGTCAAAGCACAAGTGCATTTCAATTCAGGGCGCTGGACGGTTCAAAAAGGCACCACAGCACAGAAGTGGAGTACCATTTAATGACAGCATGGGGAAGAAGAGCCCACAACCAAAGAGACCAAGTTTAAAGGGGCACAAAATGCCACTCTTATGTTCTTACTGTTGGGTTGACTCTGATCAAGTATTTTATCAAGTACCACTGACATCACGCCACAACAACCCCTCCCCATTCTAAGGGGGAGAAAGAAATCTTGCCAATTAATGCAAAATGAATTGATGCCAAATGCAAACCCTTAGAAGATTTTAAGACTTCTGATTTTGATCCCTAAATATAAAAACCATCTTTACAAAACCATAGGCAGGGATTCTTCCAGTGATGGCAAAGGAAGGGGGGGCAAAAGTAGGAGGGTCAGGGCCAGTTCCCAGTCCTATGTCCAAATGGCCACACAACAGAGAAGAACAAAGGTCCGCCCAGTGCGCCCACCACCCAGAGGTCCACTGAAACAACATTCCCACACTACACTCCATCAGTCGTCATCCTCTAGTCTTTCTGACACATTCGGGGTTTTAAATCCGGTTTGGGGGGCTCTTAGAGCTCCTATAACATTCCATACATCAATTGTATCGAGCATATTTGTACATATGTTGTCATCATCATTTCCAAAACATTTTCTACTTGAGCTCTTGGTATAAGCTCCTTTCTGATCTCATTTGTTTCACAAAACAAAACAGTAACAACAAAAAACACCACCACCAAACTCATTGTCATTGAGTCAATTCTAGCTTATAAAGACCTTGTAGAACAGCGTAAAACTGCCTCTGTGGGCAGAAAGCCTCATCTGCCTCTTGAGCAGTTACTGGTGGGTCTGAACCACTGACCTTGGTTAGCAGTCTAATGCATAACCCCCTCTGCCACCAGAATGTCTTTGTTTCTACTAAATGCCATAGCAATTTTCATTAGGCAAGTTTTCAATGCCAGATATCTGACCTCATTTCTTTCACAGGATATTCTTCAAAAAACCACAACAAATCAAAAAGCCTCTATTTATAACTGTTGAATTGGTCTATGTGTCGCTATGCACATTTTCCACAATACCAAATAGATATGATTATTTTAAGGAAAAAAACCCCACTGAGGACAACAAATAAAACAAAATGCATGGTCTACTTAAAAAAAAAAAAGATTCTAATCATGAACCTGTACGAATTTTAGAATGTGACCACTTAACACCTTAGGAAGGGCTATACATGACGTGTATACATGATGCTGCCCAGCACTTCCCAGGATGCCCCACACACAGCAAGTGCATCATAATTCTACTCAACAAATGAGTGACTAGATGAGGGGGTTAAACAAATGAGACTGCTCCCTACACACACACACCAATTCCATCGAGCCCCAGAATGGATGAACACACTGTCCTTCCTTACAAGAGGCAGAGGGGCAAGCACCGTTCCGCTGGCATCTCTCCCTTTCAGCTCAAGCCAAGTTCCCTGCCTTGGAATTTCTTTCATCTGACTCATTTTTAATTCCCTCACTTGTATGTAAAGCACTTGAAGTCAAGAATGGTCTTTTGTCCATTCCTTTTGTGCAGCTCATTGCTGGATACCTGGCCCTGCCATTTCTCTGTCCAATGTAGCCCAAGTTCCAAGCAACTGCTTTACTGATGAACTTTGCAAACGAGCTGGGCATTCCCTTGAGAGAAGAGTTTTGAAAAAAGGGTCCAGGGGTGCAATTGCTCTTCAGGCGGTCAGGGCCTCCCAAAATAATTCCAATGTGAGCTGTTTGGGGGTGGGGAGAAAGAAATAGAATACACTATTCTGGAGAATCCTTCACTGAGTCCCAGCTTGATAGAGTGTCTTTTAGAGTCATTGTTATACGTGACTGCACTCATAAACTGTGGTACTTATATAATCTGTTGCCAATTTGAGAGGATTAAGAGTGAAGGGGTGGAGTTTAGCCTGTCAATCAGGTTGTAGCTTAATGACCTCATTTGGAAGCACTATGGAAATAAATAGCCACTGGAGGTAGGATGCAGGCTCAGTTCCTGTGAGACATTCTTGTTGACAAGCCACATGGAGACAGGCTGATAGCAGCCAGAGCCTCCAAGCTGGAGAAGCCACATGGAGACCCCTGCCAGCACTGAGATGCTTACACCGCTACTGGATCCACAAGACTTTCTACCCACTGGCTTGTGGTCATCCTGCATTTGGCGTCATTGCATGTGTTTCATGAGTCTGAAGAGGACTTTATATATTGGTATCGGACATATGGGCTAATACTGAACTTTGGACTTGATCTGGACTGGGATGTTTTCACAATATTCAATTGCTCTTGTATATAAAGCTCTTTCTTATACACATGAGTGCCTATGAATTTGCTTCTCTAGTCTACCCGGACTCACACATAAGCCAAGATGGACAAGTGATCCATTTCAGGCTCACATCTTATAGGGACAACCTAAGAGTTTAAGAGAAGGGATTCATAGAAAATTAAATGCCACTAGCACAGCCAGTCTGATGTTTTCCCTTGTCTTGCTCAAATGCTCCCGGGATGCTGTCTGTGGGGTATGTACTACTTTCAATCTGACTGTATTTGACATGTTGTCAAAGTCAAATTTGCAGTATTACCAAAAAGCAGCATTACTACCACCTGTGCCAAATCACTAACCCACAGAGGCAGGGCTGAAAGAGAATGCTTTCTTCAACAATCCCCTCCCCCATTTCACAGGTGAAGGGTCAGAATGCCAGACAGGGAAAGGGATCAAGGCTCTACCCTTGATGAGAGAGCCACATCCAGCAGGCAGAATTCTAATACTTGGCTAGGAAAGCTGGCAACACATTTGACACTTTGGGGTATGCGTTGGGCTGCTAACCAGTGCTGCTCCTCAGGAAGCCCTACGTGGGGTCCCTAGGAGGGGCTCCACTCTACAGCAGTGGGGGGAAGTCAGAATAGCAGAGGGAGGGCGCTGCTTTACAGGGAAGCCAGCCTGGCTCAAACATTTGTGCTGGCACCTCCAAGTTGGGCAACTTGAGGGGAAACCTCTGTGGATTTTGCTTTCTCACATGTAAAATATGTACCACCTATTTCATATGGAAGTTGTAAAAGTTAAATAAGACCATTTGAAAAGTGCGTGCCACAGAGAGACACACTTCAAATAGTAATCCTATTACTATGTTTACTAGTTGCAAGGTTGGCAGTTCAAATGTACCAGCTACGAGGGCCGTGTGCTCCCAAAAAGACTTGCAACCTAGGAAACCTTATATATAGAGTCACTATGAGTCCGTGACATTGACACTTGACAGGGAATTGCCAGAAGTCCAGGCTGGATTCAAAAGAGGGTGTGGAACAAGGGATATCACTGCTGGTTTCAGATTGATCTTGGCTCAAAGCAGAGAATACCAGAAAAATGTTTACTTGTTTCATGACTACACAAAGGGATTCGTCTGTGGATAATAATAAACTGTAGATAATCTTGGAAAGAATGAGAATTCCAGAATACTTCATTGTGCTCATTCAGAACTTGCATATGAATCAAGAAGCAGTTGTGTGAACAGAACAAAGGAATACTGCATGATTTAAAATCAGGAAAGGTGTGTCAGGATTGTATCCTCTCACCGTACTTGTTCAATCTACATGCTCAGTAGATCATCAGAGAAGCTAGATTATATGAAGAGGAGTGCAGCAGCAGGACTGGAAGAAGGCTTAGAACAACCTGCGGTATGCAAGAGACACAAGCTTGCTTGCTGAAAGGGAGGAAGAACTGAAGCACTTGCTGATGAAAATCAAGGATTTTAGCCTTCAGTATGGATTACAACTTAATGTAAGGAAGACCAAAATCTTCAAAACTGGACCAATAGGTAATATCATGATAAGAGAAAAGATCGAAGTTGTCAGGGATTATGCCTTACTTGGATCCACAATCAATGCTCATGGAAGCAGCAGTCAAGATCAAAAAACATGTTGCATTAGGTCAATCTGCAGCACG